TAAAATAAAGATAGAAGAGTCTTCAAATGTAAACGTAGCTAGATTATCGTCAACAGTTAATCATGATGATGATGATGATGATGATGATGATGATGATGATGATGATGATGATGATGATGAATATGACTGGGAAATAAAAAGATTAGAAAAAAAATTAGGATTCAAGCCAGGTGGAAAACTACCCAAAGCATTTATTGATGATGGGTTGGATGAGTTATTGGATGGAATTAAATTAGGATTTGAGTTACCTTGTAAAGACATTAGTGATGAAGTAAGTTTTGTTAATTGATTTATTAAAAAAATGGTTATCAGGTGAATAAATGAGTGTTTAAATTAATTAATAAATTTATTTTTTAGAAAAAATATTTTGATGATAATGAGGAGGATTCTGGGGAAGAATTAGTCAGCCAAGACAATTATGATAATGATGATAAACCTGAAGAAATAAGTTATAATAAAAAATATAGAGGGTCAAAAAGAAAGAAATTCAGCAAATAAAAGTTATATTATTATTATTGCAATGATTTATTATATTAAAATGTTGAAATTATTATAAAAAATGAAATGATAATTATATGCAATTGTCTAGTTGATAAAAGTATTTATAAATTTTTTCTAAATGGAATATGTTTAATCTTAATTTTTACTTGTCAATCACCATACATTTGTATTACTTACTGAAGCAAATTTACCCATTTTAATCTTCATGACCATCAGTTATTTATAATCAGTAGCCTTGTAACTTCTTTCATGATCAATCTAATGATGGCTTCAGGTATTAATTAGCATTTCATTTACAAATCAAAGTTGAAAATCAGATGAATAATTAAAAAATGGGCATTTCAATTTATCATATAATAATGAGAATGAGAATGGTGATGGTGATGATGGTGATGATGGTGATGGTGGTGGTGATAGTTCATTTTCTATAATAGTATAATCATTCAATATGACAATATATTCATAATAAATATTAAAGGCAATATAAATATAGATAATAAATAATATATATGATATGAGACATTAAATATGTTATTTATTTTTTTACCTTGTGCATAGTCATCCTCATTTATAATCTATATTGTATTAACAAAATTATTATAATAAATTATTATGATATAAGAATATTAAAAAAAATTTACCCCTAAAGCGATTAGGTCTTCGTTTTTTTCGCTTTCATTCAATGGTTCTAACGGGGTTTGTAAGTCTTAGTTAAGAATAATAATAATATTTAAAACATTAAATATAATAAACGAAGTGACAATTATAAATGGTAAATAATGCGATGCTATATTAAAAAAGGATATTTCCTGGGAATCCATAATTATTATATAAAAATTCGCAATTGGAGGCAACAATTTCTTTTGTCCTTCTTCGTTTCACAAGTCGTTCACGGTTAGGTATAACATAATCTATATAATATCAAGTAATAATTAATACGCGTAAAAGAAGTAAAAGTAGAAAGGAGACAATAAATAATGACCTTCTTCATCCAAAACATCTATTCGTCGTTTTTCTGTCTTGATTCTACACCTTAAATCCTCTAATTCTTCTAGTTTTCTTTTTTTAAATTTTCTTTTTTCTGACTAAAAAATCAAGAATAAAAATTAAAATGATCAAATACATTAATTAATCAATAATGAATTAAATCAATCAATCAATCAATTAGTTTATATACAATTAATATTTTAATTATGTATATTTACATTGAATTCACAATGCGCAACAAATTCATCCGCTTTATAATCTTTTTCAATAAGTTGGACTGTAAATCTTTTTTCGGCCATTATCATCTCCAATCGTTGCTTCTTTCTTTTTTCGATTTCTTCAATGCGAGCAAGGAGTTCAGGGTGCGTACCTAGTTAGTTAATTATTATTTTCAGAAAAATTTTTTTTCATGAAATGATTATTTTATAATTGAAATTACTATTATTATTTTTGCAATGTTCATTTCAAATATTAATACATTCATTCATTCACATTTACATTAATTGATAATCATATACCTTGTTTTATCATTTCCATTTGGTTTTCCAAATCAGTCATTTTGTCAAATTTGTCACGATACATACTAGGTAAAGGCCTTAAAATTTGATGTTACTAGTATTTTTCTAATTCCATTAATATAAAATATAAAGTATAAAAATAAATTTGACAAGGATGAAACATGGTGGTGGTGATAGTTCATTTTCTATAATAGTATAATCATTCAATATGACAATATATTCATAATAAATATTAAAGGCAATATAAATATAGATAATAAATAATATATATGATATGAGACATTAAATATGTTATTTATTTTTTTACCTTGTGCATAGTCATCCTCATTTATAATCTATATTGTATTAACAAAATTATTATAATAAATTATTATGATATAAGAATATTAAAAAAAATTTACCCCTAAAGCGATTAGGTCTTCGTTTTTTTCGCTTTCATTCAATGGTTCTAACGGGGTTTGTAAGTCTTAGTTAAGAATAATAATAATATTTAAAACATTAAATATAATAAACGAAGTGACAATTATAAATGGTAAATAATGCGATGCTATATTAAAAAAGGATATTTCCTGGGAATCCATAATTATTATATAAAAATTCGCAATTGGAGGCAACAATTTCTTTTGTCCTTCTTCGTTTCACAAGTCGTTCACGGTTAGGTATAACATAATCTATATAATATCAAGTAATAATTAATACGCGTAAAAGAAGTAAAAGTAGAAAGGAGACAATAAATAATGACCTTCTTCATCCAAAACATCTATTCGTCGTTTTTCTGTCTTGATTCTACACCTTAAATCCTCTAATTCTTCTAGTTTTCTTTTTTTAAATTTTCTTTTTTCTGACTAAAAAATCAAGAATAAAAATTAAAATGATCAAATACATTAATTAATCAATAATGAATTAAATCAATCAATCAATCAATTAGTTTATATACAATTAATATTTTAATTATGTATATTTACATTGAATTCACAATGCGCAACAAATTCATCCGCTTTATAATCTTTTTCAATAAGTTGGACTGTAAATCTTTTTTCGGCCATTATCATCTCCAATCGTTGCTTCTTTCTTTTTTCGATTTCTTCAATGCGAGCAAGGAGTTCAGGGTGCGTACCTAGTTAGTTAATTATTATTTTCAGAAAAATTTTTTTTCATGAAATGATTATTTTATAATTGAAATTACTATTATTATTTTTGCAATGTTCATTTCAAATATTAATACATTCATTCATTCACATTTACATTAATTGATAATCATATACCTTGTTTTATCATTTCCATTTGGTTTTCCAAATCAGTCATTTTGTCAAATTTGTCACGATACATACTAGGTAAAGGCCTTAAAATTTGATGTTACTAGTATTTTTCTAATTCCATTAATATAAAATATAAAGTATAAAAATAAATTTGACAAGGATGAAACATGATTATTGGCTAATTGCATGTGTACTACAACTCTAATGTTTGTGTAATTTTCATTTTAAAAAAGTTTATTATTAAATTTAGAAATTTTCCCTAATTTTCTAGTAAATAGTTGCACAAAAAGTTCATAAAAAAAAAACTGAATAATAAATAAGGTTTTGCAAATTCAAACCAAAGCTTTAGTCGCTGAGGAAAGATGTAGTTGAACAAAATACTCTAAGGGTTTAATGAATAATATCAATAGATGAAATTTCCCCATTATATAATTATATGGAATTTCCAGTTTCTAAATCTCTAAATAAAATCAATCAATTAAAGCTACAAATTTCATAATTTCCACTATATATAAGTATTATTTGTAAAAATTTCTTTTTCGTCATTTATATGGTAATGTATTGCAAATTTTGGAAATATTAATGTAACTTGTGATACGATTTCCTTTTGATTGGTTAATTTATAGGGTTTGTTTGTTTTTGTTATAATATGACATAATTTGACATAACTCCAATAATATAGCTAAAAAAAAAAAAAAAAATAATAAATTTCAATTTGGTGTTAAATTCTATTTAAATCTCTGATTCAAACTCAAACTCAATAGAGAAAAAATCCCACTAATTTTAATCACTGAAGAGTGATAACCTGAAACTTTGTATTCTAGTATAATTCTTTTAAATAAGCATTTATTTGGGATATATTTCATTTCCTCACTTGCTTGTATAGGTTAAATAACACCAAATCTTCTATAAGCCGAATATTACATCACAATGTAATTAGATAATGTCAGTCAAGAAGAAAATGGAATAAACATACATATACAGATAATTCTACATATAAAGAAAAGTCTTCTTTCAGAGAGCAAAACAAAGGCTTTATTGTTTGTCATAATTTGTGATAATATTTACATGATTTATAATAATGTAAATAAAGAACAATTTCTTTCATGCATATACGAGACTATTAAAAACCATTTCTTTGAAATAAATGAATCCTTGTTTCCTTACATACTATGGTGCGGGACCTCTCAAACCACCAATTCTGTATGTGATGTTTAAAAGAATAGAAGTTCATTTCTGTATATCATTTTTTAAAAAATAGCTCAGTTATGACATAGATTAGGACCCAAGCTTCAATGTGATAGAGAAAATATTGATGGGTTGTTGAGTTCTATTCCTTTTTAGTACATATTAATATATTTTACTGTGTTCACGAAGAATTTGGCACTTAAATTTGGGTGGAAATTATGAAATCTACAAATCCTTTAAATTTTGGTCAGAGTTAAAAAAATCGTGTAACAGTAACATTAACAGTCAATATTTTTTATTTTACTCAAGTATTCATTCCAATAAATTGTTTCTAGGTATTAATTAAATATATTAAATATGCAAATTGATGTTGTGTGGCATCACAGATTTAAAAATATTGTTGTATTTTTATATATATAGATGAATTGAAAAGTTTTAAAAATTTTGAAATTTTGGCCACGAGGCGCAGTAAATGGTGATTTAAGAGGTCCCGCACCATATATAATCTTTTTTAAAAAAGCATCATTTAACAAAATGCTTGCTTTTAACACTGAATCTCTTTGTCTTAACATTTTACTTTATCACAAAGCTTATAATCAATAAGTACTTTGCTGTCAGCATAGGTTTTTTGATAACCATGTAATAGCCCTGTTTTATATTAACTAATGATAACCATGTCAAATATATGGGGTCTGGTACTAGGAAAATCGACCTTCCAGCTGGTTTTTTTTTTTTTTTGAGTAATTGTTGATCAAAAATTTGACCAATAAAAATTTATTACTATTTTTAGATTTTGATGTGCTC